GTAAAAAGTCGCCATAAAAATGAGTAGTAAAGTAAAGTAAAAATATCAGAAAAATCTACTTGAGTACAGTAACGAAGTATTTGTACTTCGTTACTTCCCATCTCTGGCAAGAAGCAAGCAATTGATTGGTGGGCGAGGCAGATGGCTTTATAGCTGAGCAGGCCTCTGCGAGATGCATATATCAAGTCTCGGTGGGTAGGCTGGTAGGATTCAGATGTGCATGGCGTGTGTTTCTAAGTCACTTGTGGAGAAAAGTCTTGGGTCGCGAGTAACGAGCAAACAGGAAGCAATTCTTGTGGGATGGAAGAAGGAGATACCATAGTTAAAATGAAGACGATTGGAAGAGAGTAGTCAAAAAATGAGAAAAAGCATAAAAAGCAGAGATCAATTGAAGGGGAGTCCAGTTCAGAACAGTCAAGTGAACAACCTAGAAAATTACACAGGAAAACAAAATGATTACAAAGTCATACTCAAACTAGTTAATCAGGCAGACTCTTTTGCAGATTGGAATCCGGTTCAGTTAACAAAATCGGTAAACATATTTGTAGTTGAAGTTCGGAGAGCCAAAATCCTTTGTAGTGAAGACTTGTTAACAAACTGCAGAGACAGCTCTCAACAAGGCAAAGCCATTCGGAATAACAAGATTGAGGGGAAAAGAGTTCAGTGCAGCTTGGTGGAGAACAAAAGGATTAGCAGGGGAGTCACTGGAGGAGTGGCTCTAAAAGTATCTGAGAGAGAGATTCTAGAAAATATAAGAGGTGCAAAAGTAAAAGAGGTGAAACGGTTAAAAACAACAAGAAATTGAGAAAGGTGTGATAGCTTATCCCTGATAATCAAATTTGAAGAGGAGCAATTACCCAATAAGGTTTTCATTTGTTATATGAACTACAATGTCAAAATGTGGAAAATGTGCTGCAGAGCACAAATATGGAAAATGTGGGAAAGAAGTAAAGAATAAATGCTGCAACTGTGGTGACCATACTGCTGCATATCGAGGTAGTGAAGTGAGCAAAAGATCTGAAGAGATAAGAAAGGTGAAATAGAGCTCAGAATAACTTATGCTGAAGCTGCAAAAAGAATCCCATCCCAGTCAGAAAAAAACCAAACCAACAGTTAAGCAAATGACAAGTTCAACTCCTCTGGAGCAGCATCCCAAAAATTGCAAAAGATTCATTAATTGTAAAAAAGAAAGATATTGTTCTTTTCATGCTAGAAGTGATCGATTGTAGTGTTCAGATGACAAAGAAAACAGAAAAAAGATCAAAATAATAGTGAAAGCTGCAGAAAAGTATATTGAAGTTAGAAAATTAAACTAGGAAATGGTTAAAAGCATGATGGGAAAACCAGTAGGACCATCAGAAACTGGCAGAGTGACAGTGACTTGAAGATAAATTAGAAATTATTAGAACGTTCAGAAAGTT